AATAATAATAGTGAACGAATAAAAGATATTAATGCTCGTTAATGCAACATCCTCCGCGGGGGGCTCTTTCGCTTGCGACTTGTCTGCGGGAGGGGAAATTATGGCAGAGCACGACAGTGGGTGTCAGTGCTGATTGAGTAGAGCTCCTGGAGCCAGTCCTTCACTCGTGGATCGTCCCTTGGCGTGCCTTCAGCAAGTGCACTTGAGATCATGTCGCGCAGCCGCTGCCGGTAAACGGCGTCCTTCTGCTTCAGCTGCAAGGCGCGCGACCACTTCTTCGCCAATTTGTCCAATGACTCCTTCTTTGCTGGTGCTGGTCGTAGGCGAGCAATGCGACTGGCAGTCGCTCGGAGACGAGGGTCTGGTAAGTCGAATGACTGATGATCCACCGGTGCTGGGTCTGGGACTGGGGTCTCCTCAGGTTCACTGTACTCATGACGCTCTTGGTTGGCCTCCGTGGGGATGAGGTTCCTCACGTCCTTGTTCTCTTCAACGACGTTGCCGCGACTCAAAGTGCGGACTTTCACTGATCTGCTGATGCCGTCCGAACTGCGAAACACCTGGGTCACAACGCCAAGTGGCCACTGATCCAGGCGAGTGCTTGGTGCTTTGACATGCACGACGTCCCCGACTTCAAACTGGCGGGGAACCTTCTGTTTCTCTGTATGCTGATGGAAACAACGCAGCTCGAGGATGTAGCTGGTTTTCCACAGCCGCCGAAAGTGGTTGACCTTAGTCTGAAAGGCCTTGTAGTCTCTAATGATGTTGGGCTTTTGGTACCGTGCTGGCAGGTTGCAAGCAATCGGCATCTGCAGACTGCCTTGCCCGGCTCTGAAGTCTATCGGCCGAATGACCTTGCCTTCGTACTCGAAGAGTGGGCGATTGTTGATCATGGACTCGATTTCCGCAAATACATGCTTCAGTTGATCGAGTGAGAGTTTTGACTTTTTGCCATTGACGCGTCCGGCAATGCTGTGCGTGGAAACTGAGCGGTCGAGGGAGAAGGTGGACAGCGCTTCCTTGATGGACCTGTTCAGTCTCTCGTAGAATCCTCCTTTCCATGGGGAGTGCGCAGTGAGATGCTGCCACTTGACTCGGTACTCCTGATCTGGTCGCTTGAGGGACATCTCCTCCAGATACTTCTGCAAGTCATTCTTGACTTTGATCAGCTGCTTGCCATTATCGGAATAAAACATCCTAGGCAGTCCGTTGCGGGCGACGAAGTGGGTGACTGATTGAAAAACAGACTCAGCGGTCATGTCAGGTATGGCATCAATGAAAACGAGTCGACTGGTCGCGCAAACGTAGATCACTCCATACGCCTTGGCGTCATTTTCCATCGGAACCTTGACTGGTCCGAATAAGTCAATGCCGGTATTGGTGAAAGGAGGATTGCTGACGTCGTAGCGGAATGGGGGAACTGGTCCATGTCGAATGTCTGA